ATTCCGCAATAACTGATGGAGTTCAGGTCAAATATTTAGGACCGCTTTTGAAAGCGCTGTGTTCCGAAATTCGCGCGTTAATGTCGTCGGCAAATAAACAAGGTAAAAGCTACTAATTGTTTGTTATGGGTTGTACTGAACGGAGAAATGCCGACAAACAAACAAAGTTATGTTCCCTTTTGCTGCGCAGCATAGTCGTTAATAATGGACAACAAAGTTAATATCACTACAGACAGCTATGCGGGGACAGGATGCTGTGCGGTCAGGATTCTTCCCTCGCATTGAGCGACTTCTTTTAGCTGGTCACTACCGCTAAACTGCGACGAAATCCTCTCAAAATACACGCGACTGGGCAAGACTGGACACAAGAAACTTCTTCTTCTCCAAAGGAATGGTCCAGGCATAGAATACTCTGCCAGCGATAATTGTCATGTCTCCGTTTGTCATGTCTTTTTTAAGACGAAGCTCAACCAGACGAGTCCTGCGTAATACTACACCATCAAAGACCAACACATGCCTCTTGTTGTAACACGATCCCCGAAATTTGATTTCTATAAACGTACTACGCTCAATTTTACAACAATATTATGTTTCGTTGATAAAAGAGAAAGCTTGTCGAGCACTGGAACAGTTGGTTTGTTTTTCCGAGCTTGCAAGTTGGTTACTTTTATTATGTTTCTAATTGTTTCGCCAAATGCCCTGTATATATATATATGTGCTTTTCCCTTGCCATTTTATTGTGACCAATAGAGAATGCAAAGACGTTCGCCCACCTTTCCGTTAATAAAACTGACTGAACTGTCTAATGGATCTCGTCTTTGAGATTATCAACTTAGAATGTTTCCGAATGACAAATGGACACATGAGAGTTCTCTGAACGACATGCTCACCCTGGTTGTAGGCAATGGCACTGGACCAGGCGAAGGCGGTGAGGATGCCCTCAGAGAGACCGTGTCGTGTGATGATAAGCTCCCGCTCGGCGGCGTCCATGAGGGTGGAGGAGGTGAGATTGTCCAGAAGGTCCTCGTTGCGGCTGGTGTCGACCACGCCCACAAGACCGAACTGGCAGGGATCACCCCTGAAAAACGGCGTATCCGACCAGTAGCCTGACAAAAAAAGGATAACATACAAGGGGCACCGGTAAGTTATTTCGGTGTGCTAAAGTTTTAACACAGCCAGTCCTCCAAAACTATGTTGAGGTTTTAGACAATTATGGACGAAGAGATGCGAAAGAAAGGTTCCCCATCAAACACTGTATTCGAGAATGGCAATCAACGTGTATGAGTGTATAAACACCCAATCTGCAACGACAGAGAATGACAGCTGGCGAAGCGTTGATGAACTTCGGTTGGATTAATTGATTATGATGGTCGGCCATAAAATAAACGGTTTTTGTCAACAGCAAGTGAACGACGTATGCAAAATATGCTCAGTATCCAGGTCATCTGCTTATCGGGTGCTATTGCCAAAATAATGACGTCCATAAATATCGCAAGAGATGGGTCCAGCAGGTTTTTGTGGAACATAATGAGGACGGACGGCCTACCACCTAAGCTTCTCAATCTCAT